ACATGTAGTACCTATATATGTAATATCAAAGCAATTGCACTTGCGGTTTTTAACAAGAAGTCGAAAATATCAGTTTTTACCAAAAATGACAAAAATATTCACCAAAATTAAAGAATTAAAGATATCATTACAAAATTAACAAATCTGAGAGAGGTCCACATGTAGTACCTATAGATGTAATATCAAAGCAATTGCACTTGCGGTTTTTAACAAGAAGTCGAAAATATCAGTTTTTACCAAAAATGACAAAAATATTCACCAAAATTAAAGAATTAAAGATATCATTACAAAATTAACAAATCTGAGAGAGGTCCACATGTAGTACCTATAGATGTAATATCAAAGCAATTGCACTTGCGGTTTTTAACAAGAAGTCGAAAATATCAGTTTTTACCAAAAATGACAAAAATATTCACCAAAATTAAAGAATTAAAGATATCATTACAAAATTAACAAATCTGAGAGAGGTCCACATGTCGTACCTATATATGCAATATCAAAGCAATCGGACTTACAGTTTTAACAAGAAGTCGAAAATATCAGTTTTTACCAAAAATGACAAAAATATTCACCAAAATTAGAGAATTAAAGATATCAACATGAAATGAACAAACCTAAGAGAGGTCTACCCAAGGTACATATACACCAAGAATCAAAGCATTTAGGCTTGTAGTTTTCAAGAAGAAGTCGAAAAAGTAAAACATTGACACGGACGACGGACGACGACGACGGACAATCACTCATATGATAAGCTCCGCTCGACAAAGTCGACAGCCGAGCTAAAAAACAATATACAATGTATATTAGGTGGTTGTGTCATCTGTTTCCAGTAGCATTCAGTGAAATGAAAATTTAAATTCATAACCAAATATAACTAGACCATTTAAAACATTCCCCTCATTCTCACATAATTTGTACAAGCCTTTGGATTATGGGGAAGCTTTAAAAACAGACTGCGCTGTGTTTAATAAGGGTGACATGTGATGCCTACAATGTGTGTCAATAAAACAGCACATAAATTTTAGTGAATGTAAATGTTATATGAATAGTGATGTAAATTAATAAATTTGATATTGTAGGTTGGAAAATTTGATATTCCATTTATCCGATATTACCTCCTTTCTTGATTAAAGAGAGAAGGACTTTCACTCACTAACACCTAGATAAGCCTGACTAATGGCTCACTGGATGGCACATATACCCGAACCTTTTTGTGATAACACGCCCTTGCTGAACCATCCAGTAGCTTTACTTGTCTTCACTTTTCCTCTTTTTGGATCAGTTTTCTTCATGATTTCTAAAAATTCATAGAAATCGACATAACCCGATTTATCCAAATCTACTTCTTCCATCATTTCTAACAACTGTTTCTTAGTGGCCCGGGTTCCAGACATTCTAACAGCCAAATCCAGTTCATCTAAATCTAATGCTGAACTTCCATCTCTGTCATAGACATTGAAAGCCTAGGAGAAACAAATGCATATTATATTATTTACACAATGGCATTAAAGGTAAAGTACAGTTCAGGCATAACTCAACTTCCAAGCTGGTTATCTGCTGACTTTGCAACATAAAAAAAAACTTGTTTCATCAATAATTTCAACTCACTCCTTGTAATATCTACCTATGTTACGAATACAATATATGTATATGCATTAGTTATATGGTGATTGTTAAATCATGATAGTTTTCAGACAGGTAAAAGCAAACTAAATGAGTAGATTCATTCAAACCATGAGTACATTTGTTATCTACTTTATTTTTGCTTGGAATTAATTTTCGCTATTTTTGCTGAAAGAATGATTTAGTGAAAATAAAATCCAGTGAATATACCTTTTTTCCTGTATTTTACATTCAACTCGTCAAAAATCAGTGAAAATAAATTCCATACATTCCATCCATTAATTCCCGCTAAAATAAAGTATTTTACAGTAGTAGCTGTGGGGGGGGGGGGGGGGATGATGATCATCCATGTAGTTGACTTGTACTGTTGGTGGATTGTAATACATTTGCCTGAGATATTGTACTCCAGTACTGTACTCTCTGATCCCATGCCTATCTAGAAAATGTGCTGAATCCATTTTCAGAGTATACATGGTTGTATGTTCAATCTAGTGTACACTCACCTTCAGTAACTCTTCTACTTCTTTCTCATCTGGTATTATCTCCTTTGCCATGTCCATGTCCAAAGCCCATCTCTCAAACTTAGACAAAAACTGCTTCCTCAAATCAGCTCCAACGCCTTTCCTCACTCCCTTAGCTGGTTGTCGGTAGCAACCATTCTTGACATTTTTGTACTTCATCAGCTGAGCCATGTTCACCTATACAGAGAAAGTTCAAATGTGAAATTTCATGGTTTATTGTGCAAATCTGTGTTTATAGTTTGTGTGGACCAACATTTACGGCGCGTGACTCTCAGTGCACAACAGACAAATTAGATGATATTACTGTAGAAACCGTTCTTTGTGTAGCTTGTACAAAAATTACATGACATATTATATGAAAGCTAGTTATCTGCTTCATGGTTTCAGGCAAATCTAGGCGAATCTTTAACTTCAGAAATACTGGACATATAAAAAAAAAGTTTGTTAACAAATAAAAATACAATTACCTTCTCTCCAATTGTAACCTCAATCGGTGTTTCAAACATTTGATAATTTCCATTGAACACATTTCCACCAGTTGCCAAAGTTGCTGTTAGTACAAATGTCTGTGTTAAAACACCCAAACGTGTAGTGCCACTGACACGCAAGTACGAACCGCGAAAATACGAGTAGTTATCCAATTCAAACTCAACACATCGAAACTTCACCAATGTCAGAGTTCCATTCAGCTTATTCCCATCCATCTCTGTTATATTTAGTATGACTTCTTCCTTGTCTGCACCAACACCTACCTCTATTAACCATTCACCTACAACACACAGATATACAATAATGTCATACTAAATGTAGGTGAAGCAACCCCTCCCCCTCCCTCCAACCTCATCGCATCATCTATATTGTGTTATAATGATCTTCACATGGGTTTTGGGTTTTATTTGTGTGAACTAGAATTATGACACATTTTAAGAATTTATCCATTATGTAGTGTGTGTGCTAGATTCATAATCGAATTCCAGGGCTAAACACAATCCATAGAATACAGACATAGATAGGTGAGGCAAGGCGTATGAGAAAATCAACAGCAATTCCAGTATACTGTAAAATACTTTAACAGGTGTAATACCAACCATATACTATTTCCCCACATAAACAAAATT